GAACACGACTGGACAAAACTTGTCAAGGGGAACCTTTACCTTTACCTTTACCAGTGTTAAGTATTTGGCCCGTACAATCTGGACCACTTTTCTGCTCAGTTACAGGCTCACTGGGTTAGCCACTCTTTCTCACAAGTCAATTTGACAATGGCAGCATTCACACAGATACACAATGTGAAAACTAAAAAATATTTAATAACTCAAACCAGGAATTTTGTACAGCATATAGAATTAACTTGCAGAACTCCCTGCCACCAGAAGTACAGTAGTAAATTCTAATAATGTGGCAATCGGATGACTGTAGATACAGATATGAACAGTATCTAGATACAGTGTTCATAGTCTATTTTGGATGTCCGAATATTCAAAATTTCTGAGACTAAATGATACTGGATGAAATAGATTTTTAGTACATTTTATTATGAAAATCATGAAGTACTCCAGTGCTTCCTGGTGTAGACAACATGGTGACCAAAGCAAACTGCAGGTCAAACTAATCTACCTGTTTTTAAAACAAAAGGAAGAGAAACCATGAGAGTTCTGATGTCCAGCCTGATGTAATGTATAATACAATCAATATTCTAAAAAACCTCTGTTGCTCAATTGCTTCAAGGTCATAGGCTCAAATGCCTGATTTTTTACTTCTGCTATGAACTGAGTCTCTAACTGCACTGATGGATCTATGAGCACACCTCCAATGTGACTTTAAGGGGTAGTGTAGTCTCATTCAAAAGAGGATAATGTTCAAACCTGAACCAGTAGAGCCTCACACCAATTGTGCAGAATTAAACCTCAATTTGCTGATTCACATCTAGTCCAACTTTACTCAGCTTTAAGACAAGAGTTCAGAATCTCCACATCTTTCTGAGAGAGGACAGAGATGGGTATAATCATTGTATCTCCATCCAAATCTCTGAATGAGTACACCCTGCAGCTTTATATAGATGCTGAACAGAATAAGCACTAGGACGGAACCTCACATATTTGAAGAAGCTTTTGAAAAATATATATCCCATGGATGTGCACACCATTCTACTGTTAAATAAGTTTTGTATCGCTTAAAAAGCTACAGATTTTTTTTACTAGAATCAAGAGAAAACATAATATGCGTGCACACAAGAATGCTTTTCCAGAATATTTTTTCTCAAAAACTGTTGTCTCTCTTTAGTCTTAGTAATACTAGTATCCATTTATACCAAATCTCACCAAACTTATCCCCTAGCTTTCTAATCGATAACAAATAAGACAACTTGCTGTATCTATGCAAATACTTCAATGATTCTATGTAGGGGGTGGAAACAGCATAAGTAGGTGAGTCTTTACAGCTATTTTTCAAAGTATGGTAATGGTTTTAAAATATTCTGAAAAAGGAAGAAAACCCATGTAACAGAACTACAATTTAGCAGAAGTTAAATATGCCAATGATTGCAGTGATAAAGGCATGAAAAGAATGACACTGAAATGTTCATGCAGAAGTGCATCATTTCAGCTGATTCTCTAGTAAGCATACTCAGGATCATGGCCTTACTGGATATCCCTGAACTCAGCAGGACTTACTCCTGTGTAAATATGCGTTAGATTGGGCTGTAAATTCCACTAAAGTCACACTGAAACACTGAAGTCCAAAGGAGATAAGCATGATTGCCTTCTTCTCCAAAACCAAGATCATAAAACCTCTTATTTCCACACGGATGAAAATTGTGTATTTCACTTAAATTGAATTCAAGAAGACTTATACACGCATTTACTTGATTTTAAGGGAACCCACAACCACATATATATGTTTATGACTGCAGCTTTATGGTGTAACTAACATTTTCTAGATTTATACCCTATTCTGTTCAGAGATATGTGACTACACATTTAAATGTCACTGCACAGCCATGCATAACTACAAGCTCACCCATTTGAGAAGGCAGTGCAGGTTAGAGCCTTTCAAGCTACAATTCACCCTGTGTTTAGGTATGGGCTGTACATTAGACTTTACCTGAATCTTACACCTATCTAAAAACTGAGTTACCAACACTGGTCATAAATACCTCACTAGTCATGTCAACACATCATATAATCTGAATCTTTTTGTTCGTTAAGAAAAAGGATAATTCTTTAGACCAGCAGCTTTTAGCCTTTTTGGGCCTAGAATCAAGACTTAACTACAATGTATAACATGGGCTCTAGTTTAGAATCTTTAACCATACAGTGTAAGCAGTAAGAAATAGGAGGGATATACTGTATTTCTGATGTTTGCATAGAAGAGGAAGTCTTGGTAGATGCAAGTTGCCTTGCTGCAATGAACAGAACTATTAAAATATAGGAGTTCCACCATTTAGTACCATCACCATCTTGCTGTCTTTATCTTTCCCATAAAACATAGCAAAAATTCCAACTCCCCAAACAACCAAACCAACAAGCAAACAAACAAAATGATGGGAATCCTGCTGTACTACATCCTAATTGAAGCCATATATTAGTTAGAGCAGTGGTTCTTAACCTTTGTTACTCGGATGCTTTTGAACTGCAGCTCCCAGAAACCCCAGTCAGGACAGTTGGTGGTGAAGGCTTCTGGGAGTTGCAGTCCAAAACTCCTGAGTAACCCAAGTGAAGCCATATATTACTTAGAGTTCCCTACTAGACCAATAACTGCACTTGAGCAACACAGAGCATGCTGGATAGTGACAACTAGAATTGCTCTGAGAAGGCTCTATTCCAGATCAGGGTACATCTCCAAGGATCTTTGTATATCACTGTATCAGCCACAACCACAGGGAACACTAGGCAGGTGTAAACATAAGCTCAAAGGTCCAGCCACAGAGCAAAATGGTATAGCAGAACAATATCCTTTGTGGAGAGGCAGAGACAGAAATGAGTCAGAAAGATGGAAAATAAAATGCATTGTCAGGAACTGGAGGCATTTTATACATGGCTAGCATGGTGTAGAAAGACTGTATGTGTGTTTATGCCTGCATGTGTGCCGATGAGAGGATGGATGAATTGCCGGTGTGCATGTGGATGTGTAGGAAGAGACAGAATTTGGTGCCATTGATGATCTTAGGAGAAACAAGAAGCAGTGTGTACAACAGTTCTGGTTCCATTCACTACAATGCCTGAGAATTTTCAGTGAAAGAAAGAAAGAAAGAAAGAAAGAAAGAAAGAAAGAAAGAAAGAAAGAAAGAAAGAAAGAAAGAAAGAAAGAAAGAAACCTTTATGAGTAGCAGGTGTATCGTTTCCACCTGTTTTCACATACAGTATATCAATCCACTTCTCATATGAATGGAGTACAATGCAATCCCTGACAGAAAAAAGGTTGTCCCATTCCTGTGTTGTTCCTTCTAATTTCTTCCACTACATGATAAACAGAAATTCAACATGAACACTTTGTGATTGTATCTTTAATTAAGAAAAGGGGCATACTTGTTGAATATCTTGCCCGCTACTATGAAAGCCACAGAGACCATAATAGGCCAGAAATAACTAGAGTAATTAAAATATTTGTTTTCATTAGATTAATTTTGATGGGGCTTCTAAAACAAGCATGGACATGAGAAATAAATCACTGCACAGATACTAGTTATCTTTCACATGATATGACATGCCTGTGTTACTAAGTTTAGAGAGTGGTATAATTCTAATGCTGTCTGGATTTAAAAGATGGGATACATTTGACCAACATATGTCTCAGAAAACAACAAATGTATCTCATCTTTTTAATCCAGATGATCACTATAATTCTGCTTTAGGGCTTGACATCAGCAGTGTATTAATAGTAAATATAAATTACAGCTGAAATTGGTAATGAATATAAAAATCTATTATAACAGAACACTGTCATTTTCATACTATTGCTAATTATGTATAATGAGTTCCACATGAGGACAGCTATTATACCAGAATACATCTTTATGTTCAAACAGATTTTTAAAAGATCATAACCCCACAAAACATATCATAAAATTTATAAAATTGTCAAAATAGTAGATGTGTTATTTTATTTTAGCACATACGATAAAGAAACAAAACAAAGAAAACAAATTCCAAGTCTTGTGGTATCCTTAAAGCTAAGAGCTTTATTTCTGCATGAGATTTTGTGGAGTATATAATCCACAAAGCACTGAGAAAGGAAAACGATGGATCCGCCTTGAGCTGCTTTTGAGGTTATATGCTCTAACCTGGAAACTGTTGCTGTTGTAAGGTGGGTAGGATGCAGACAGAGGTTTCTGCAGTGCAGGAAATGCACCTTGCACATGCTCAGAAGCAGTCTCTTTGGTGTTATTTCTTCACATATTTAATTGCTAAATTCTAGCACCAGAAACAGATTATAAGGCTGATTGGGGTGGGGTCAGTGAACTGAATCATACTGGGGCTCAATTTCAGCAGGGATTCCTCAGAACTTATCTCTCAACTCTGTTTTAATCCCTCTCCCCAAAAAGAAATCCTGGAACATATGAAGTAATAACAAAGACATTGCCTTGGAGAACCTGCAGAGCGCCCTTCCTTTTATTTGTGTGCCTTACCCTTTTCTTCATCTTGCCCAAATGAGCAACTGCTGAATGTGTGGGGGGAAAAATGTCCCCTGCAAATTATTGTGTTTGATATGAGATAGTGTGAAAGTTGCAATTGTGTAATAATAAGTCGTTCTCACAGGCAAATTGTCCTAACCCTACAATTATCAAATGATGGCCATGGACATGAAAATCAGAACTGGTAGCAACTCTGAATTCATACAGGTTTCCTGAAGAGGGTGGCATAGTTTCCAATCATGCTTGATTGCTATTATCAGGGGGTGGGGTGGCTATAGACATTTTCTGCCTTACAGTTCTGGACACAGGCAGGCAGGAGAGAACCTTAAGTTGTCCTTTGAAAGGTACAGTCTTCTATGTGCTTTCACTTGAGCCATACAGGTGGGTCACTGATGGCATCAGAGCTGCTGTAGTAACAACAAGCCAGGCACAGCAAAGCTGAGCAGTGGGGGTGGGAGTGAAAGAGCCAAAGAGAGTGGCATGCAGTTCCTAATACCTCAGGGAACGAAGGATGGGATCATTCCACAACAGGATTTGAAAGTGATCAACTCTCTAGCCCAGCCATCCAGAGCAGCTAAGTCTCTGTGGCTGTCAGCTTAACTCTGCCGCTGGTTCCTGTGGGGTAGAGGAGTTAAATAGGACACAGGCTCAGAGACAGCCAGCCTGTTTGCTGGAAATCAGGGAAAGAGAAGAAGGTGGAATTTGGTCAGAGCACCCAAGCAGGGGACAGGGAACATCTCCAGGTAAGCCCTCCAGCTTGGCTTGAAGAAGAGGGGGAGGGGGAGGAAGAAGGATTTTCAAGGACCGATTGAATGCCTTGGAGAGGGAACTCTTTAAGCTGTTGGGAGGCACAAAGGGACGGGAGGCTTTGCCTTTTGGGAGGAAGAAGTAGAAGGACAGATTCCAACTTAGGTATTTGGGGTAGGTGGGGGAAAGCGTTGTGTGTGCCTGTGTGCGTGCTTGCGTGCTGGTGGTGATGGGGGGAAACAGTAGATCTTCTGTAAATGTTCTTAATATCTTTCACCTCGTCCTTCTTGTGGCAGATTATCTCTCTCTCTCTCCACAGCTTTTACGAACCGCATCAAATCCTCTCGCCCTCTGCGCTGTGTGAATTTAAGAGCCTTTGGGAGGATTTGATTGCCCATCAAAATAAATGAAAGGGGGGGGGTGAGAGAGAGAGAGATGGATGTGGACCAAGCCTCGGTCCTATTATACAAATCTAAAAATAAAGCCCAAAGGAGACATAACATTTGCCAGGAGCAAGCGGGAAAGGGGGGGGGAAGGATGTCCGATTCTTAGTGGGCTTTCTTACTCATTGGAGCCAGGCGGGGGTTAGTGGGTGGGCTGCAAAACTGCCCCCTGAATGAACCTGAAAGACCAGGAGGAGGGGGGGAGGAGGAGCTGCAAATGCTGCCTTTCGGAAAGTCAGCCCTCTCCTCCCCTCCCCTC